TTTGGCGTTGAGAGCTTTCATTTGACCCGAACATGTTCAACGTTTTCGCTCATCAATACACATACCTCCATTGTTAGAAAAATAAATTTTTAATGTTATTAATAAAAAATTTTAATTTGTTGTCTGGACGTTTTCCAATTGTTCTATTTCATTTGCTGTTAACTAGAAAGAGACATTGAGTGTTTTCTTTTTTCGGAGCTATCTTACGGTTCCTTGAACATGTCGACACTTTTCGACTCAACGTTGAACTAAGCATACCTTCGCATTTTGAAGCTACTTGTGGTTCTCAAAGAGAGTACAATTGATCGAATTCATACTTTTACCACAACTAGATTATCAAAAATGATGGAATCTATTTTCGGAGAAAAAATTTTAAAAGCAGATTTTCAAAAATCATTGAGCTAGCTGTGTCCGATCTGGCTAAACTTTTGACTAAAAGTACTTGAAATTATTCTCAAGAGACGAAATCGGCCGTTACCGTTTGTGACTTTTCTCTCCGGATTTAGAGAGCCTTAAATGTCAACACTTCGCCGTGAATGCGCATGTTTTTGCATTTCTCACATAAGAAAAAAGAAAGCGAGATTTTTGATACAGTTTAAGACAGCTACTGAGATATAGTGTAAAATATCGCCAAAAAAAAGACTCAGCCCGATCGGACACATTTAGACCGGAATTGTGAGTTCGATGTAGTCCTATAGAAAATCAAAATTTTTTTGAAAAAAACCACGAAAACATTGTTTAAAATCGTTTCCCTGGAACATGTGTCTCCTTTAGTTTAGATGCTCTATCGGTGGTACTTACTTCATATGGATCGGCTGTATCCTCTTTGTGAATCAGAAATGATCAAAAAAAAGGAGAGCAGATCATCCTTTTGATGAATTTGCTTAGTATTGATACGTAGCGATTCCAAGCAGTTATCGATTATATTATTTAAAGAGCGAATTTAAGTTTTCAATTTCATTACTATTTATAGCATGGGTGACCGATAAAAACAAGTTATGGATGATTTATCTAACATTTTTCATTATTAATTGTTCAAGTTTATGCTATGGATCTTGAGAGACAAAAAAACAACTAAAAGACTTATTATACAAGGTATTCTAGTTTTCTATTTTTTCGTTTTTGAGGAGTAGTCAATGATTTGATCGATGTCAATGTGAATGATGGAATGCACAGATATCAAAGCTAATCCATGTAGAAAATTTTTACTTATGGCACTTGGCACTTAGTATTTTAGCAATTTTAATGCAGAAACTTGCTCGTCAGCTCCTGTTAGGGCTGAACTACGAAACTTACATATACTTGCTAGCCTGATTAAACTAATATAAAATGCATAAAGTGAAAAATCTCTTGTAGACTATAGTTATTCTGCTGAATAATCGATCATCAGTGCAAGAACACTCTAATTTCTGCATTTCGAACAGAAATTTTTAATGTTTTTAAGAATACCTTTCTTTTTTGTTTGCTCGTTGTTATTTACTCATTTTTTTTAAATTCATTTTTGTTTAATTTAATATTTTTATTATTATAACATTTGAATTAATTGGAAAATAAGTCTGTTTTACGTATCCATTATATCTACATCAGTAGGTTTCAACATACTATTATATACATTGATTAACTCACAATAAACTGATATTGATTATTTTTAAGTAATAATTTGATAAATTCATCGTTTTTATGTTGGTCAAATAACAATTGTAGCATGTTAGGATATGTCTAAGGTCTGTAGTGGACTGGAGAAAAGAGGCGCCACAAAGCTTCGACTTAAAACTCACACTCACTATTTTCTTCAAAAATGTATGTGAGTTTCATAAAATTATTGAATTTTAATCAAGTAGTTGAATAAAAAGATGAGACTAACGGATGCAAGAATCAATAGTGAAAATTTCAGCTCATCTTACTAGATACTGAGCCATTGTTATTGTCTATGTTTTCTTTTTATTTCCAATTTCAAGATGATTTTCTATAACGACAAGTCTTAGAAAATAAAAAAACAGGTTTTTTAAAGAGTTAACGTTCAGTGTCGTGTTTTTTGAGGCAAGCCCAATTTCAAAACTATACTCAACAGTCTAATTTGAATTCAAAATATATGGTGCTGAGTTCTAGGAAAAAAATATTCTTCTTTCAAAAGGAGATTTAGTATGTGAGACCGAATATTTTTCATTCTTGAAACTTCTTATCTTGAGCTCTAATCATGAACAAATTAATAGGAGAAAAACCAGACTGATTTGTACATCTAAGCATAGACGGCCATCATAGTAGCAAGATGAAGCTATTGCTACTCCTAATAACTCATACTTAGGCAGTTGTTAGAAGACCATTTATGCACTATGAAACTTGTTTTATTGTCTTCAGAGGCTCTACTTCATGGTGTATGACATGGACGGGGTATCAGCACTACAAGAGTTGGCTATTGTTCCCTTTAAAAAGTTGTAGAAACAACAAATATGAGTGAATTGAGTTTCTCTTTTGCCCACGCTCACCCTAAGATTCTGCCAGATGTAGAAATAGATAAATATTCCAAGGAAAATATTTTTATCGGCAGAAATCGCGATATGCGACGGCTGAATATTTTTTTTAATCAATATCATTATAAGAGTGCATCGACCACCTTTCGAATGTAGGTGTAAATAATATATAGATATCCACTACCACACCTCAAAATGTGTCAGCAAATACGTTTTTCTATCTACGTTGAATCATAAATAGCACACATACAAATATATATAAAGGGTGTAAACTAAGTTCTGATTCCATCCGTATTTTGGCTATAACTTTTATTCTTTTCAATCCTTAGACCTGATTGTTTTCCCAAAAGATGCGCCGTGAAATTCTCTACGAAACTTGATAAAAAGTATTCTTGTAAAAAGTTAAGAAGAAAAATTTAACGAAGAATATCTAATGCGTAGAAAAAGGCCAATTTTCTAAGTTATTTTCATTTACAATCTTTATAGTATTTCAAACAACTTGAAAGAGATCGGAACAACAGTGGAAATGTTTCTGAGTACTTTCAAGTGCGCTCTTTCTCGTCATGCATTTCAAAGGTCATTCAAATGAAAAGGGCCGTTGAAAAATCTAACATTCCAAAATTTATTTTATAATAACCAAAATCTGTTACTTTTCGCCGGTTAACTTTAGGAAGAAAACTATCCGGTAAGCTTTAAATACATTTTCGTCGTTGAATCTGATACAAGAGTCATTTTTCCTCAAAACAAAAGAAACCCGAACTCAAAAGCTGCAATTTTGGCTTAATTATACGACGTTTTCCATAAGCTCCGAAAACTACAGATTCATACAGCTAAATTTTCAAAAGCATCAAAGAGAAGAAAATCGGTGCAGTTGCATAGATTTATTTAACATTTGTTCACTTAATACTACTTGATAGATAGAGCTTTTCAAGCGCTATAAAATGCGTATATTCTCTCCTTCTTATCTTACCTAGCTCAATGAAAATAGTTAGACAAATTGGTTTTTCAACTGATAAAGTTGGCTCTTTTCTACGTGTTGGATATGCTTCGTTAAATTTTTCTCCTTAACTTTTAACAGAAATAAATTTTATCAAGTTTTGTAGAGAATTTCACGGCGCATCTTTTGGGAAAACAATCAGGTCTAAGGGTTGAAAAGAATAAAAGTTATAGCCAAAATACGGATGGAATCAGAACTTAGTTTACACCCTTTATATATTGTCCTGTCAGTAGCGTCGATTGCCGAAAAGCAAGAGTTGAAAACGCAACGAATTGAACTTGTGTTTCATTTTAAGTCTGACCCGCCATTGTCAGTTTTATATTAATGATGCTTCTTCCTTGGTAATACTCATTCAAACATATCAATATAAAAATAGGTTTCGAAAAATAAATATTCATGAAAGTTCTAAGTAATATAGGAAAAATAACTTGTTTGAACGATATTTTACTTTCGCCTCATTACTGTAGACTATTAGTATGTCTCTTATGATGTTATCTTGAAATGTCGTAGTACTTGAAAGTACGTACATCTTTTATAAGAAGATAGAATAACGATATTCTCTCTGAAAGTAGCATCATATAAAGAATATCATACATTAGAAAAATTGACATCTTTAGTAACAACCAAAAGAAATATCATTCAACTATTATTAGAACGACATAAGTTAAGACTGGAATGAGAAGAAAAAAAAAGACTTTTCAAACTTATGTAAAATTTTGATATAAAAGAAGTCTCTAATTATGTAAAGAATTTTTATATTACAGAATATAGCAATGTCTGCTGGTTCGAATTATGTGATTCAGTAAAATTAATTTGAACATTAATACTGTAACTTTAATTGCGAGTATCGTTGTAAAGAAAGATAGTTCACGAAAGAAATACATCTAATGAAGGCAAACTAATGAAATACTTAAGAAATTAAATTTTATAAACAAAGCTAGTTTGCTTCTTACTATTTGAACTTAGATGTGTCTATTATATTTCTATCGTAATGAAGATAATTTGTATCATTTGACATATTCTTGCAGGAGTTTATTTTTATATGATAATTTCGTCGAGATTGCAGATGAAATCAGCTAATAAAAATAAAATGATTTAATCTAATACAGTTGGATTTATTGCTTCATTGTATCATTAAACAGATTTTTCATTCAGAAAAAAACTTTGATATAGATAAAAAAAAAAATCTTCTCACTCCATTTCTTTGTTTTTATCATAACAATGATAGTAATGTTGGCTTAAGATATCACCCAATGCATATCTTTGGTATTATATTTATAGATGTTGTTAGTTAGACAAAACAGAATAAGACCAATGCATCAGATGAAATTTTTGTTTTCATCACAGATCTTTTTTTTTGTTGTCTACCAACAAGTAAATCATTCTAATTCAATTAGTGTTTGCGCATAAGATCGTACCGATATCAAATTATAGTCAGGACAGGACTATGTAAAAAATATTTATTCAAAAAAGAAGAGATGTCAACATTAACAAAACATTATATAATGAAGTCAATTTTTAGATAAATTAAAATGTCATATTTTGCTCTTGATCATTGGCCTATTGAATTGATATATACAATTTTTGAGTTTCTCTCCGATTGTGATATTGTTTTGTCATTTTTTAATACAAGTTCTCGTATGAATGACATTCTACAAAATTACAAAAATTATACATTTAAATTTACTTCAATTTCAAGAAAAAATTTTCATTTCATTTTGGATAATATCAATTTGAGTAATATTGTTTCTCTCACTCTTTCGGATGATCGTCATACTGGTGGTCAATTTGGTCTTTTTCTTTCATATTATTCTTCGTCTTTTCATTTATTTACTCGTCTTAGTTTGTTAAATCTTCATGATATCAAAATTAAAAAAGATCAATATGATCAAATGAAAATGTCTTTAAGACAATTCAAACAACTTCGTTACTTACATCTTGATCATGTGGATATACGAGATATTGATGATCATTTATTATCAGCTATTGAACAGCTTGATAATCGTTGTTTATTAAAAATTGATGATTATGACGATATCGATTTTAGTCATCTTTCGAAATCTATTCAATATTATCATGCACGTATGAGGGTGAGTATAGCATGATTATTTTCATGTGAATAGTAATAAAAATTCATAGTTCGATGAACAATCTTTTGATGTACTATGAGTTTAACATTCATTAAATGAAAGAAACTATCTATTTTCTATTGAGTCTTAAGCAAACATATTGAAATTTTATAAATAAAATTTTATCATCGACCTATGAATTTACAGTAGACTAATCATAAGTTAAGATTTCTATTAAGTAGAAAATAAAAGAAACTATGTTTCACACGTCATGGCCTCATCTTCGTACGATTATACTAAATGGATCATTTCGAGTATCTCTTCTTAACAATTTGATTTCTTTGGCACCTCAACTGGTCTCACTCGATTGTCAATATGATTTTGATAATCACAATATATTCCCTAATTTTGGACTTATATCAAACCTAGAAAGACTCTCATTTAGTTCCGAAAGTAATACACCCCGAAATCTATTATTATAATCTTCTCTGATAAATTTATTTTTGGAGTTGACATTCAATATTTGCACACAACGTATTGGTTTACATAAATTGACTAGATTGAAAGATCTTCAAATCAGGGGTAGTTACGTTCCCGACGGTAATAATATTCTTGTTGACGGTTAACAATGGGAAACGTTTCTATCAAATGCATTACCTCAATTATCTAAATTTAATTTTTGCTTCAATTTTATACAAAATTTTCCATTTGAAACTAATTGTTTGAACACTTTTCGTACGCCGCTCTGGCTTGAAGAGAAGAAATAGTTTGTTTTTGTTCGAGTCACTAAAATAGGCAGGCTTGGTTCAGAAGAATGTCATTATGAAGAAAAAATCTTTACTATACCTCGTTTCGCCCACAATTTTTGGTTTGACGATAATATTTCTGATCTCATATCGATTTTATCGAACCATTTCATTTCAAAGAAACGTTCTCTCGAATGTTATTATTCAAAGGATAAAAAACTGTACCCTCGTTTAAGTTTCAAGAATTTTCCCTCATGCTATCTACCATATGAACATATTGACAACCTTACTGTTACATCTGAAAAACCCTTCACCAATATTTTCTTTCCAGTTTTTCAATTTAATCATATTTTAAATGTAAATTCAGTCAAAAGAATACATGTTTTAATCGATTATGCAGAACTACTTTACTTACTCGATTATCTACCAAATGTGTCTACAGTTTCTTTGGATCATTGGCAATCGGATAATGAATTAGCAAATATTGAACATGGAAATTCACGAATACGTTCACTTGAGGTAAGATTAAGTAAACAGATTGAATTTGAAGAATGATTTCAGTATATCTATTTTCAAAGACTATAAATATCTATGAAAATATCAGAGTAATTGAAATATCATTTATCATATGATTTGAATAATGCTTATCAAATTTTAAAGGTTTTCTCTGTTTTCTATGTGAGACAACGATAAAACTATAGATATCTGCACTACAGTATTTAGCTTAATTAACATTCCTACTAAGACTTACAACAAAGCTGTTCTTTTCGTGACATTATGTTATTAATTCATGCTTAATTTTCTTTCACTTTCCAGTTATCTTCCATAGACGACAGCAAATTGATCTCAGCAGTTATTCCCAAACGACTATTTTCTCATCTATTTCCGTCTATTGAAAATCTAAAGCTTGAATTTCTCATGATGTCATCCTCACCACACATACACAATGGCTATCAATCACTTTATGAACTTGATAAATCGTTTCTACCTTGGCACAATTTGTCAAGTCTTCAAGTCGATTCTAGAATACTGGGAAATATTGTACATGCAGGAAAAACAGTACGAGACGGATGGAAAGAGAAATTTCTCAAAGAAGCTTTACCAAAGCAATCTCAACGAAATTTTACATTCGCAACCTTATATGGGGATCTTTATATATGGTTTGGTGAAACAGAAACTAATGAGAATGATGAAAACAATAAAGAAAAACAAATCGAAGAAATAAATGACCTAATAAACGTGAAAGACGAAGACAAAAAAGAACAAGAGGTAAAAATATCGAAATTTCATTAATGTAATTAGTACAATAATTTCATTCTTTTATTTATAAAGATAATAAAGATAAAGAAAAAGAAACGAAAAAAATCGATTAGCTATTTTCAACGTCACAAGTGTTTATTATCCTAAAAATTTTGTATCACTGAATTTTAAATAAAGAATGTTTCTAAATGTGAGTTCATATGCTGTTTAAAAATAACGACAAACATTTAATGGATCGAATTCTACTAACTGAGATGAAAATGGTTGGTTTTTTTTTGTTTTTATTTAATAAATATCTATCAAAGATAAATTCATTACGATTGAAGCATGATTTTGATATTTAACAATCTGATTCTGTGACTATTATTGAGATTTTTTTGATTTCAAATATAACAAATGAAAGTGCATAGTTGAAAATTCATGAAATCAAATTATCAACTAAAAGATGTAAAATAAGTTTTGATCTCTTCAAGTTATATTCGTTTCTCATGATCGATCAATTGTCGTAATGGATTGAAATTCTTGATTATCTTGCGAAATATTTAACATGTTATCGATATAGATTATTTAATTAATTTGCAATAGTCAAAACTCGAAATGAATTGATTTCATTGAATTAATATAAAAATAGAATCGTAATTTGATTCAGAAAAATCAGCAATGATCTTTTAATGCACTTAATCATTTTGAAAATCGTTTTGCTTTTCATATAAGGATGTGGATGTGAGTCTTTTCGAAATCAATATCGACAGCTACAATCATACGCACACCTACACCAAGTCCGATTAACCAATATTTAATGGATGAAACGCAATAACTGATCTTCTTTGCTTTATTTTTGTTAACAAAAATAGGCAAAATATTAAGCATTTTTTGTTTATTTAAACTAAAAAAAATTGAGCTTGCGTCGCTCATGTCATCCATTCATCGAAATTTAAATATATCGACGTATTCAATTTGGAACAATATTGCTTATTTTATCAATTACAAGAAAGTATTAATGAGAAAAAGTTTTCCATACAAAAAATAATCAGTACAATTAAAATAATTTGATAAAAAGTTGTTTTACAAAACTATTCACCTTTGACCATTATACAATTTCATAGAGGATAAAAAGATGAATCTTTAAAAAAAAAAGCATTATGAAAAAATTAATATGAAGAGAGATCCATTATTTCGGGAAGATTCATGACTTAACAAGATGAGCATAGTGTGAAAATTTTATGTGGTCTAGATGAAGGACAAGATTCTTATCGCAGTAGATCTATATATCATGGGAAATATGATTGAATATTGAAATCATATAGAATCACTATACAGTGAACACGGCGATTGATGTCATTGACCATCTGCATACTAATAAATTATTTTTCAATTTGATTGATATTCTATTTATAACTTTATTTCTAATCCTATATTTATATGTCGAAGAAAAATTTGACGTTGTCATTCATGAAAATAAAATAAATAACAGATATTTATTCAACTAGCTATGTATCGATTATATTTTAACTTCGATTAGTTAATATTTCGTAAGATTTTTCAATCAATAAGTCAAAATATGTATAAAGTTCTTTTTATGTTTTCAACGAAAAAAATATTCATATTATTTATTTCAATTTAATTTTTCATTAAGATAACGTTCAACATGTCGAACAACTGTAAGTCCACTTTCAAGAGCTCCATCAATAAAGCCTCGCCAACCATTAGCTGTATCACTACTTGCAAAAAATAAAGGTGGTTCATGTTCCTGTAATGTTAATAAATTCGATGTCACTTGTCCAGGTCGATACCATCCCCATGTTCCACCTGTAAAAGGATCACTACGCCAATCATGTCCAATAATATATTTGATTTTAATATCGGGTAATAATTTACTTAAAGCCAGTTTTACAGCATCAAAATCTCGAATATCTAATAAATCTTCCATACCAAATGCAATAATTGTTGTACCATCTTCATCATCTGTATATGCCATTGTTATTGGATTAGGATATGGTGCATAACCACTCCAATTTCCAATTGATTCTTCAAGTTTAACAGTAAATTTACTACCACCACGACATTGTTGTTCACTAATAACACGTTGTTTTTCAAGTTTTAATGATGGTGAAAATTCTATATTGTGTAATGTATTCAATGGAATAGTAATAATTACACTACGACCAGTAAATAATTGTCCATTTTGTGTACTAATTATAACATTATTATCATTGGTTCGATTAACAGAAACAATCGGAGTAGAAAGTAACAATTGAACATCATGACAATCATTTAACATAGCTTGTGCTAATGTACTTATTCCTTCAGTTAATTTATATCGACTAGTTTTATCAAATAATCGACATGTTTCATAATCTCCAAGTGCCCACCAACGAAGATGATCAATAAATCCACTTTCAGAAAGTTTACATTGTGAATTCATTGAAAGATATGCATCTAGTAGTTCATACATTTCTTTATTATTATCAAATATAGTTGAAATTTCATCTAATCGATCTTGCATGGACATTTTATCATAAATTTGAATAGCCTCATTGGCAGCAAAAGGTTCATATGGTAAAGGCATAACATTTCGTCCTTGAACTCCATCAATATCACTATATTTATTCATAGCTTCACATAATTGTGGTAATAAATCAGTCATTGACGTAATTTTTAATCGAGAACCATTATCTAATAATAAACTAAGACGATCAGCTGTTACACCTTTAGTTTCTACAATTGAAAGACCATAACGTGTAATTTCATTCCATATATGAGGTTGACTCCAATGTATCCATGTACCACCAATTTCATATTTTTGTTTTTCAACTTCAGTTGTAAATGTTCGACCACCTATTCGATCTCGTGCTTCAATAATTAATACTTTTCGATTACGAAAGCTAAGTTCACGTGCAGCCATAAGACCAGTAAATCCAGCACCAATAATTATTACATCGAAATTAGTATTCATTGTTACTAATGATGATGTAATAGCAGCAGTTGTTATAAGACCATTTTCAAGACCATTATTTCCATGATGAACAAAGCCATCTTGTGTACGGTTAGCAAGTTTATTCAATCTAGTCGTCATTAGTTTTTTTATATTCAAACTAACGATGTATATACTTTACATATGTTGATAATGAGAAAGAAAGACGAATATTTTAAGTTCTTTTTCTTATCATTCGTAACTTTGGACCCATGTTACGTTTAGGTTATTTGTTATCTTAATATTGAAAAATATTTTATCATACATGTAAGCACATGCTTTTAAGTCATTTATTATAAATCATTCGATTACATGTAGATTTTGTTCTTTTTTTTTTACGCAATACTTTTCTATAGGTTATTGATAGGCGATATTTTTCAAATTTTGAAAGTGTATGTTTTTATTCGATCCGCTGAGGAAATGTTATGAATACCATTTGTTGATAATAATATTATTCTTGTTCTATTTATCTTATTATACAGAAACGAATGATTAGTTGCTTGCTCATTCTCATTTTTTGCTTCGTGAAGTATAGTCACATTTTTCTTTTTTGTTATCGTTACATTCTTTGTGCATCTGCCTCTCTAAGTCGATACGAGAGTACTGATGGCAGAGGCAATTAATATTGATCCTAATGAGGATCTTCAGTCTGGAAAGGAATATGAGACACTGGAACAAGGTTCTATATCAAATGTTCAAGTTGAACTTATATCAAGATTTTTATCGGAGTGTCCGCAAGCAGCTTTAAATGTACACAAGTACTTGCAGAAAAATTATTCAAAGTCAAATCAGCAACAACAACAACTCATGCAACCAGTGAATTCAACACCGAAACGCGGTCATCCACTAGATGAAAGCGGAGGTTCGATCAGCAACGGAAGAGGTCTCCGTAAATATCCTCGAAGGGGTATTGACAATAATGCACATAAGCACTCACATAATGTACAACCAGAAATTAATTTACAAACACAGCAACCATCGTCTTCGATGTCGTCAGATGTAAGACAACATCAAGAGATAAATCAAGATAATACGAATCGTAAACGAATTTCTTTTAATCAACTGAAGCACGCGGTATCGTCAAATTTACCATGTTTCTTTATTGAATTCACCTCGGATGCGGATCGTAATAGTATTCCAACAGCTCTTCATGCAAGTGATCTTATACTGAAAGAACTGCAAACCAATGGTGTTTTAATCAATAGATTTACATTAGTAGGATGGGCAGGAAAAAAGCTAAAGTTAGGTGTTAATAATAAAGAAGATTACGCTACTCTCGTCAGTTCGGATAAATGGCCAACAAAGATAAATGGAATTGATATTGTGGTCGTGAAACCAAAATATATACCAGATTCATTCACTCTCGTCGTCCGTTATGTACCTAGGGAATTAGATGAAAATTTTGTTTCAAATGAAATTCAGCGAACAATTGCTTCTGCAGATCGTATTAAACGTATTCATTATTCATACCAAAGAAGAACAGATGATTATCGATTCGAAGTGAAAGATTATCGTGAATATAATGCTGTGTTGCAACTGGGTCGAATTGCAATAGGTCATTCGTGGTTATCGATCACCAAGTTTTATCCGGGAAATCGTTTAACGTACTGCACGAAATGTTGGCGTATTGGCCATTTAAGGAACAAATGCAGCTCAGAAAGCAAATGTCGTATTTGTTATGAAAGTCTGAATGTCAATACTCCTCATATGTGTAAAAATGTACCGAAATGTGCTCAATGTGATGGAGATCATCATTCGTTGGATAGTCAATGTCAAGTTTTAAAAGAATATAAAGATCAATTAAAGGAAGATGTCGAAGATGCCATACAAAAAGGACTATTACAGCGATTCTCACCGCAAGAGAAAGCACCTACATTTGAACGTCGAGAGCAAGACTTTCCACCATTAGCAGCAAGTGATAATCATTCCAATAAAAAATGGAATACTGCGCTACCACGTACAACTGTTGAGTCGAATGACTTACGAGCATCATATACTGATAAAACAATTGAATCCATCAATGATAATCTGACAAAACTAATCGATAGTAACAAACGGCTTGAAAATAAAGTTGATCTAGTATCATCAAGTATAAAAACCGTTACTCTTGATATTCAGCTACATCAAGCAGTCTTAGCAGATACTATCAATATTATGAAAGACTTCATGCAATATGTTATACCAGCATCGTTAACTGCTAGCAAAGTTGAAAGATCATCGTTGGTACAAGTCACGAGCGAATACTACAAGCGCCTTCATGTCGCGTCCTCAAGATTAATAAATGGTTTCCAATTAAATCAGCAAGTTGAACTGTTTGTGCATAATACTAACATTGATCAACACTCTGCATCAGTTCACAAATCTTCACAGAATGATAAGTAGAACGTCAGATCTTAATGTACACGCTAAAGTTTTCTTTCCTGCTTCAGAGAATTATTCATTTAGTCCTATAGATGAAGCTATGCACCGGCTGAAAACTTGGAATTTTGCACCTAAAGATCAGAAATTAGTATTATCTCTTTTAGATGAATGGTACACGGGTAGAACCTTGAACACAGTCTTAGAACAATGGGGAAATGTTGGAATAGCTCCTTCACAAACTCAAAAAGAACATATTAAGATCCTATGTTATAATGTCGAAGGTTGGGGTACGCGTGCGCTTGAAGCTATTGATTTAGTGTATCAAATTCAAGCTTCTATTGGTATATTTACTGAAGTTGGTGAGTTATGGAACATGAGCCGATTACCACATTTTAACACGTTCTATCAAAAGGGAACTAACAAGAATGGAGGAGTATGTATAGCAGTAGGGAAGCATCTGAAAGCGACGCGCATCGAGGTTAACATTCCGAACACAGTTGTCATTGATATAACAGGTCTATCAGAGCCAGTACGTATCATTGGTATTTACTGGCCCACTAGTCAAGAGCGTGATCTTGATGATATCTTGCCTTATGTCGTAGAAGGTACCATACTATCAGGTGACTTTAATGCAACAGTCAAGGAATGGAATAGTCCAATAACTGATAGAAGAGGTGCGCACGTGAAAGAATGGATTGATGAAAATAATCTCAATTATATTCCATCAACGTCCAACTCATCTAAGCGCTCTCTACGTAATATAGATTTGTCGTTCTCTAATATGAGTACTATTTCAAGCGAAACAGTGTTTTTTGGCACTAGCGATCATTGGCCGATTGTGTTATCGTGTGAGAACATTTTTTTCGATATAAACAGTTTTTTTCCTCATACAAATTGGAAGGCATTTGAAGCAGTAATAACGCTATTACAAACATTCTGGATGAGAGAACAAAAGAAAAATAGTGCTGATGAGTGGTACAAGCAATATATTCGTTTCATCGCGGCTGTCAAAAATAGAGTGACTCATTGGAAAGAGAGAGATAAATATAAACCATCATTACCGAAGTATATCATCGAAAAATTAAAAGAAATACGAAAAGTGAGAAATAGATATTATCATTTAAGACATAAGGGAGTTTTTAATAAGGAAGCGAGGGTGCTATTACGTACAATGACGAGAGAGACCAAAGTTGAAGTTGCTAAATACAAAAATGCTCAATGGCAAAATTTTTTGGTTAACATTCAAACGTCTTACGATAAATCAGATAAAGCGTTTTGGACACACTTATCTCGCATTCACAAATCGCGTACGCTGCCTTTTTATAAACTTTCGGATGGCTCTAAAATAATATCAACTCAACAAGAAATCACAAACGAACTATATCAGTATTACAGTGAACAGTTTAAAGCATCTGCTCTGGATTGTTATAATGTACATGAAACTCAGTTAGACATTGAATATAAAGAGTTGCTAAATAAATTATTAGTATCAAAAGATAAAGTCGAAAAAACTAGTGTTTGGGAAATCTCACGATTAATTAAAACGTTAAAGCCAAAGAAGTCAGCAGGTTTTGATTTGGTGTCAAACTTCATAATTAAAAAACTTCCTCCAAGTTACATCGAGTGCTTAGCAAATTGCTTTAATGTATGGTTAAACGAGTGTCGTTATCCCGATGACTGGAAAATTGCTAAAATTATAACCTTAAATAAGTTGAAATCGGGTATCCCAAAGTGTGAACAAACTCGTCCGATATCCTTGTTAGCTACACATTCTAAGCTGTTCGAAAAAGTGCTCTTACTAAGAATTAGACACTGGGCTGAAACAAATCGTTTAGTACCCGTAGAACAATCGGGGTTCCGTCCAAAATGTCTTCTACCTACTCGCGTTCTGTCAATATATCAGGAAGTCAAAAATAACATGGCAGCCAATATTCCGACACTAGCGCTTTATGTCGATTATCAAAAGGCTTATGATCGTGTATGGCATGCTGCTCTTCTGTGTAAACTAGATAGACTGGGTATGCCTCTCAACTTATTGAAAATGATTGATAGTTGGTTAAAAGATAGAAGAGCTTACGTAGAATATGGTGAAATAACTTCGAAAATATTTAAGATACATATAGGACTTCCACAGGGCAGTAGTCTTAGTCCATACTTATTTATAGTGTTTCATTCAGATCTAACAAATTACCTGGGAGCTCATTCATGTCATCTATTTTCAGATGATCTTTGTGTATTAATTAGTCCTCCCATTATGAGAAACTTAGACCCGATGATTGAATACTTAGAAAAAGAAGGTACACGAATTTGTAATCAGGTTCTTATATATTCAAAAAAGTGGAAACAACCGTTAAATGTTTCGAAAACTGTAGTACAACTTTTTCATACACAAGTAAAAAGACCGATAGTAAATGTAACGATAGACGGAAACAAAATCGAATTAGTTAGAGAATTCAAATACCTAGGTTTTACCTGGACGGATAAACTATCGTTGAAACCAACAATCGAAAAAGCGATAGGAAATATTCAGAGATCGCTAGGAAAACTAAAATGGATGAAATCTGGTCGCGAAATGTCATGTAAAGCTCTCCGGCAATGTTTTTTCGCATTCACGTTCCCTCATTTCGCTTGGCTGTTTCCACTTTTTCCAATCCTCTCAGAATCTCAACAAAATATATTGCAACAAAAATTCCGTGTGGGACTTCGGCTGGTGCATCGCTGCCCCTTCGTTTCTGCTCATA